AAAAATACAACTGTATGATCCGTTTGGCATTAATTTGCTTTATAAAAAGTCAATTGTGTCAATTATTTCTTCTTACTGTCACTAATAAAACTTACAAAAATAATATATTTACAAATGTTATCACTTTACAGAACGAGTCAACATTCCCATCAATATAGATCTATGTCATTCTCTCTCTTTCCAAAAACTGTTTTGCATATTTTATATATATAAATATGTGTCAAAGTAGTCACTTTGACTTTGACTGCTGTTAGTAGGCCTACGTACTCGCAAAATATTCATATATCTAGATTCGACCTACCTTGCTTCCTTCATGTTTCTCATGCAAACTACGCAAGAACTGGTGCAAAAAGTGAGAAAACTCCTTGTGTGTTATGACAATGTCTGTGTCATGCTCAGTGACGGATCTGATGCTCCTGAGGGGAAAGAAAATATACAGTAACTATTGAGAACAAAACTGGTTGAAGAAAAAGAAACAGCAATTAAGGTTATCATATGAAAACTTTACAAAAGTTGAAAAAAAATTAAAAATTATCACGTATGCATGTGAATCAGGTGGGAATAACGGAGTAAGATCTCAAAATTATTGCTTTTTAAAATGTAGATGTTTTACGCTCCCAATCGACACAATTCACATCATTTGGGAGGCCGGCCTCCGACCCTGCCTGTCGGGCCAACACGGGCTGAGAGGTATGCAACATCCAAGCAGAAAGACCCGAGATACATGATTTATATAATAAAACATTTTCTTCCCTCAGGTTTCCTGCGTGAGACAGCGAAGCACCTCCGCAACTCTACAGATGCTACTGATCTCTAATTGTAATCAGTTAAAATCTGCAACTATATACCTAGGCTATCAAGTGCTATTTTATCTATAAAAGAAAATAAGGTGAATTTGCTTCTTCTGACTAATATACAGAAGTAACTATAAACCGTAAACTAGGCTACTCAGTGCACTCCTCATCAGTAATACAAAACACAAATTCAGATTTAATTGCTAAAGACTAAAGAGTTCAGTTCACAGAGTTTGCAAGGTAGCTTTGAAGTTTTGATGTACTGTCAGTGAAGTTTAAAAAAAACAAGGAATTTCAGATAATTAATAATAGGCTAGATCTAGTATAGTAATGAAGTAATGGAGTAGATCTAGACATTTATTATAGTACAGTAACTGAGTAAGTGAGTAAGCTTAATTTGGCTCTAAATATTTATTAAAATACTTCGTCCCAAAATCTTGATCTACCTGTCTTTAAAATTGATTGCCAGCCATGGTACGAATCTGTAACGGTATTGTTTCCATTTTTGAAGTAATTTTATCATAGTGAACAACAAATGACATTTTTCGTTCCAGAAATCAGGAGCTGCAACGACCGCTCATTTCACCTTTCCTGAACTTTCCTACTTTCGTTTTCTCAAATTTCGTTTCGTCGCGTGAATAGCTTTGGCCTCTTTTTAACGTAGCCGAAGAAAACCAAAACATTCATCCTGAAACCGAGGTCAAGCTCTGCTTGCACATTCTCTGCCGTAGTGATCTACCAGAAAATGTACCATCAAAGGTATGTATCGATAGTTCAAGATTGTTTGGCTTTGCTTCAACTGTTGCTATGTTGAATTGTTCATCCTGGATTCCCTGCATTTGTATCACATTAGCCGCTGGTGAGATCTCGTAATGTAAACACTGTCAATCACTGCCTTCTCAGCCAGGAAGGGTAAAGAAACACAACACGGAATCTCATTCGTTCGTGAGCACTGTTTACATTATTGTCGGAGGCAGAGAGAGTGGGCGTTTGCCACTGTGAGTCAAGGGCCAAGAAGTTGAAAGGCATCTGCCTCCTTATAGGACATGCACTTGCAGTTGCACTGATCGTTGAAGGGAGACTGGCTTTTCATAAGTAAAAGCTTACAGTCACTTTTTGTTACACTTTGTAAGCCTATCCTATGTACATTATATGTTAGATCTATTATTGGCTTTATAAGGCCTTGTTATTGTAGATTCTAGATTTTTATAAAAGAATTTCTTTTGAGTACTTAACTTAGTACGAAATTATTATCTCTAATGTGGTATGACAGAGATAGTGTAACGTTTTGAAGATGTAGATTAGATTGAAAATTAGAAATGGAGTTGTTCAATGTAGTTTTAGGCTGGTGATCTCCATTTTTATTTGCTCTTTGACTGTTTGAATAAAACCCGGACCAGTTTTAGATTCGTAAGTTAGTAAGAGATCTTTTAATAGCCTCCATACTCTGTGGATGGGCATACATTTTTTTGTGGATGAGCAGGACTATGGCTTACTTGTCTGTTTTATCAGTTATGACAGACAAAGTTTACACATTTCCAATCCTCCAGGTGTTGTGTGTGTAGGCAAACATCAGATTATGATAAGAGTGAAACCTAAAAATGGGTTTTTGATTTAGTTTGACCTACTTTAGAACCTTCTGCAGAGACTGCCTTTCCATACCAAGTGCACATTACGTTTAGATCCTGGTAGCAGTGATTATTTATCACATTTTTGGAACATAGTATCATTGTGTTAACAATAAATTGAATTCAAGAATCTTCAGTAGCTTAGTGTATGACACACCATACACAAGAATCGGATCTAGATCTAGAATAAAAAGCTTTGAAGACAAATGTCCTAGGCCTTCTGGGGGCTGTTTACTGTTTAGAACTTTTGCATGTGTGCATTTCAAGAAGAAGAAATCTGAGAAGCTATTTCTATCCCAGTTGGTGATTTCTTCGATTTCTTTTTTGCTTTTTTACCAGTTTAGTTTTATATTTGTGAATTTTGTGTTGATTAATTTCCAGTTATAGATACACCATTCCTGCTGGTACTTGTCAGCTGTGTTTTGTAGGTGGGCAGGTATATATATGTGGTTTGCTTGTTTTACTTGAAATCTCTTTCATTTAATGGCCTTTACTTTCTGCATTCCACTTTGCTGTGAACTACAATTCAACAATAGTAACGTGGTTGTTGAATGTTTTGTCAGTGTCTATAAAATCACTTGGAAGGAAAGACCTGGTAGAAAATGACTGAAAATTGTTTTTTTTTTAGGCGCTTTTATATTCTTTTATATATTTTGTTGTTGTTGGAATTTTCTAGTTTGTGGCATAATTAGGACTTTTATTTTTGTGTGACCTGTCATTTACCCTAAATCAGAAGCTTTGAAATGATATCTTGTGTTCCATACAGTCAAAAGAGCTGTCGGTAAGGGTAAGGGTAGGGGAAAGGGTAGGGATAAGGGTAGGGATAGGGTTAATGAAGGGTAGGGATAGGGTTAATGAAGGGTAGGGGCAGGGTTAGGGTTAGGTCTCTTCTTTATTCTTTGTTTGGGTGGTCGCTCATAACGGAATTCCTTCCATCTCATGTGGAAATGTTTCGAGCTTTGTCTTTGTCATGAATCTTTCTAAAAATTTTATAGTCTTAAAATTTCTGGGATTTATTGAAAAGAAGAGATTACAGTGAGTCTGCTAAACTGAACATGGTTTAAAAAATCAGAAAACCAGTAAATTGAAACAAAATGAAATCCGCGATTTTTTTTCTTCTATACAGTAGCCTCTTTGAAGTGAAAACCTGGCTAAACAGAAGAAAATCTGGCAGTTGCGCTGATTTCAGTTTAAGCGGAGTCCACTTTATTTTGAATTTACTTTTTATTAACATTATTGTGGATCTTTAGTAAGGGAGCTCTTTGTAGATGATATATCCGTAGGTGGTTGGCGGGTGCTCTGGTGTGGTTTACTCCTTCTTTCCTATCAAACATCTATCGTCCTTATATCTCTCCTTCATTCTTTTTTGTGTATGTTACTCTCTTGTAACACATCTATTCTTCGGCACTTATATGACCTTATTGTGTTGCAAATGCCGTAAAACTCTTACTAAAACTAAAACTAAAGTTGATGATATTCTGAAAGACTGCAAGCAGACTTGCAATAATTGCACAGTTCTCTGCTTGCTGAGTTTTTGCATCTTTTTCATCATTTTCAGCCCTTTGTGATGCAATTTTAGGAATAGAATCATGCAGCCACATCACTTATTGTTTTGAATTTTATTGTGTATAAAGAATGTTTTTTTGGATTGATTTGTATCATTTTTTTTTCCACAGAGATTCTTCTGTCCATCAAGTAATCTAACTTCATCTTGCGTCTGCGTACACACTGGATAAATTACATCATGATGATGGCCCAGAGGATTATGGGTCAGTCGTCTATGAGAGAACACGGCAATGTCCGGTGAGAACTCGAGCGGGCGCCAGGTGGGCAAGCCCATTCTGAGGCAGCTGCGGCGGAGCAAGACCATCACCGTCTCGGAGTACGTGGAGCCCGGCCAGACCGCACCCCATGAAGGTTAGTGTTCGCCGCGGTCAGCGTTTAGCCCGAGGAGTTTTCTTCTCTCTTTTTTTCAAGTGGAGATCTGAAACAGTCATAGGCTGTGGTGGTTTACCACTCATTTCTCTGCCTAGACGCTCTATTTCCCTTCCAGCCCCATTCACATATATTTTCAGCAGTGCTTGTTACCTCCCACCATCCCAAGAGTGTATATATTCTCAGTTTGGAGGGTTAACAAATTTGCACATTTTTCAAAATTAGCCAACCTAATTAAGCTTTAATATTCATAATGGTTGTTCATTTACCTTTGAAAAATGTATATGTTTTTATCTAAAACTCATTACAAAGATACTTCATCACTCTTTAGAATGCATGTTTCTTTTTCTGAAACACTGCCTTATTGGCTGGGACTGGGGTTAGGAAGTGTACAAAAATGGCTGGGGCTGGAAGGGTTAAAAAGTCCCAACATTACTCTGGTGTTTTCCCATCATACGTCTGTTCAAGTGCTCTAAGTGTGTTATTCTTTGTCTACCTTTATTTTTCACTGCTCTCCAATTTTTCCTTGGCTGTAGATTGGCTTTGTTACACAATATCGGAACACTGTGGTTGTTTGATAACACGGATTACACAACAGGGATGATTGCCATGCTCTAAAGTATGTTGATTTCATTGTCATGGTCAGGAATCGACATTTAAAGAGCAATTTCATGAGTCAAAAGGCTCATTAGCAACACTTTCTTCCTTTCTCTTCTTGCTTTGCCACCGAACAAGGGGCACACACTATTCACCATTCTATCCTTTTATTGATGCCTGATATTTTTCTTGATCACAGATAAGAGAACACTTGACTGTTTAACAATAGAAACCAAGCGTCAGATTTAAGCAGAGGTTTACAATAAGTCCTACGTTGAGATGGAAATTTGTAAAAGATTTGCTATCCCGAAATCAATGCTTTCCACTTTTCTAAAATGAAATCAAAGATTTAAAAAAGTGAAAATGTCAGTGTCTATTTTTGTCAACTTTGGACATCTAAGAAGGCCTAGTTGTCAGTCCATCAGACAGTGAGTGTGCTTTGCTAAATTTGAGAACAAGGAGCAGGTGTGTAGTTTTTTCAACGTTTCCAGCAAGCACATGCCGTGTCTCTTACAATCTCTGGTCCCATTCTGGAGACAAACGCAGATGAAGTCGCACGGAAATTTGTCTTTGACTTGACTGCACATGCAACACATAGGGTGGTGCTACTGGCTGAAGTTGTCTTTAGGCCATTCCCAAAAGGGGGATATTAACCGTGTTCTTATGCACAGTAGTAGAATTGTAATTGTAAATGGGCTGATTCATCAATGTCATGAACTGCAACGGGGAACTGCTGCTTTTTCTTTCGTAATCCTTACTATTGTCATTTTTCCTCTTCTTCTTTTATATATGTTTGTCACACTCTTGTGACCCACTATTTCCGGTGTGCCTTGATGGTCGAAGCAGACTTTGTGCTGCTGAAGCTAGGGCGGTGAGCAGAGTAAGTCTGATTCGCTTTTAGGACTTCTCTGTTGACATCCACCCCTTGGTGCTCATATGACCTTTAATGCAGTTGTAAGCGCTGTAAAACCTCTACTAAAATAAACAGAATGGTTGGTTAGGTTAAAAAAGAGACACGGCATTACTCTGTTACAGTGATTTATTTCCCGACCATTGTACCATCACAGTTATTTCCCTTTATGTTTTTCAATATCTCTTTAATTTTTCACTTTAATGGTTTACCCAAATTATGGATGTGTCGAAGACATTTTGTGTTTGATTTATCCATGCCAGATTATATGATGTGAATAGTTTGTGGCAGAAAAAAAAATAGGTTGTGTAGTAAGGAATTGGCTGGTAGTAGAAGGGAATAGTTTTCTGTTGTGGCAGTTTGTAAGAGAAAGAAATAGGTTGTGAATTGTTTGTAGTACATAGAACAAATAATTGGTAGTTTTTAAGCACAAGGGGGTATCCCAAAAAAGCTGTTTTGAGAAAGCAGGTGGTGGCTATTCTCCGGCGTCGCGCCGGTCAATAGATCGGAAGCTATTCTCCGGCATCACGCCGCTGTCTATTCTATTATTTGTTGGCGCAGATTTGCAAATACCTTTCTCATCTGTTTTGTCTTGGGAAAAAATTCCCTCAACTTCACCATTTCGTGCCACTTCCTTTGATACAGACGATAGGTTTTCAGACACAAACTGCCTCACTACGCAGTTGCAAGCGCCGTAAAACCCTGTACTACTACTACTAAACTGACTCAATTCCTCCAATTTAGAATTATGATAGGTGCTAGAAGAAACATGCTCACCACTTGTGACGCAAGTTCATAACAAAGAGGGAGCAAGAAAAAGTCACTTGTTAATGTTTCCAAAAAGGGAGATACGACAAGAAAGCACTGAAGTCGCGACATATCAGTTAAATTTATCGAAAAGTACAACAACAGGAGATAAGCTAAACACCAAGCTGTACTATATTATGACTAGACTGAATTTTAGACACAAAATAATTTTTTTTTCGTTTAAAGAAACAAAATCATTATTTTGAAATAAGCCCAAATAAATGAATTAAGTTTATTACGCTAGACAATTATCATTGATAAAATATTATGAAAGGTAGACTTACTAGGCCTCGTTATTGTATCTCATAATCTGCGCGACAAATACCTTGTAATTCATTAGTAATAGACTGCGGCATGACGCCGGAAAATAGCTTCTGATCTATTGACCGGTGCGACACCGGAGAATAGCCACTTGCTTTGAGAAAATCAAAGGTAAAGATTTTGGATCCGTATTCAGACAAGGAGAGTTTCTCTATAACCAAACAAATATACACACCAATGAAACCAAACTTCTCCTATAGGTAGGGCAATGCCCTCTTTTGGTGTAGGTCAAGATTTCTGGAAACCCCCGAAATATTGGTTAGCCCGCTTGTCCTTAAAAGCGGCCAGTTAGTCTGAAATGGAAAGAAATATTTACTCTGGATTTGATTTCATTCTGTGCTGACCTGCCCCAATCAAGCATTTCTAAGTGAATAATGCAGGACAAGTCTTACTGTAAAGTTTCGTGAACATAACTTTGAGATTGCATTGAGCAGATTTTATTCCAACGCTTGTATTGAAATCAAACATCTCCTCTACCCTCTATTTCCCTTTCCTTGAATCATTTTAAAAAAGTGTTTTCTACTGTTTGTTTAAGCCAGGTGTGAACACTTGTTCAGCTATTTCAGGCTCTGCCTTTTTTGGGGGGAGAGATGTTAAGTCAACAATTTTTATAGATCGTCTCTTTCAGTTCACGTTTTTTTTTGTGTGTGCGTGTGTGTGTGGTGTAATACCTGCTCTGGGGGCTCTCGTGGCCTAGAGGTTAAGGTGTTCGCCTCTCATTCAAAGGTTCCGGGTTCGAATCTGGGTAGCAACCGAAAAATGTTCTTCTCTAAAATTGTCTCCTTTCACCTCCTTTCCTGCTCTCTAGCAATGTTCTGTTGTCTGCTTTCGTCTCCACTTTCTGCCCCCAACCTCCTTTGCCCCCTCCTCTGGGCCCCTGACTCTTTCTGCAGCCTTTCTACTGCTACTCTTTTGCTCCTTCTTACTGCTGTCTTTCAGCCACACCCTGATTTTCTGGCAGGAAAGATTTACACCTAGCCTTCTCGGACAAGGACGAAAAATCTCAGAGGTCCAGTGTGCAAGTTGTGCATGCCAAAGACCCAAAGTTGGTCTAAAATCGATAAGAGTAGGCTTCGGCCGCCACCCGGACACTGAAAATATTTGTTGTCCTGTGCGCTCATATGACCTAATGCAGTTGCGAGTGCTGTAAAACACGTAAAAAAAAAAAAAAAAAAGGAAGCAAATCATGACTTGTTCTATTGGCCCCTCCTCAGTGTCGTTCTCAGTGGAGGGTTCTGAACCCACCCTCCCCTCCCCCCAGCCCACCTCCTCCTGTCAGGCCCTGAGGCACGCCGTGTCCGCCCTCACTCGCATCGATGACTTCTTCTTGGAGGAGCTGGGCTCAGGATTTTTTGCCAATGTGTACAAGGTAAAAGGACGGTTGGCGGGTGCTCTGGTGGGGTTTATTTGCTGCTCTTCTTTCCTGTTTAAAAAATCCGTCGTCTTTAATTATCAACCCTCCTTTTTTGTATTTGTTACTCTCTTTTAACACCTCTTATCCTCTAATCTTTGGCACTTAAATATGCATGGTCTGCATTGCTGTCCAAGTTTGCTTATAGATATGTTTAAATATATGTACTGAAGGAAAAAAAATGTGTTACTATTTTTTCCCAGTAAGTTTAGGACTTCTAAGAGATCCTCTCGAGTTTTTTCTTTTTGTTTTATTTGTTTTATTTGTTTGTCTAGAACAGTGTACATGTTCTTTATTTTAAAAAATGTAAATTTAGAACGATACAAGTGTCTTGTTGTCATATAGAACAGTTTTATGTGTCCACTTGTCCAGAACTTATAAAGAGAAATAGTTTCCTATCAAACATCTGTCTTTCTTATCTCTATTCCATTTTTGTGTTTGTTACTCTCTTGTAACACCTCTAATCCTTTGCATTTACATGACCTTATTGTTTTGCAAGTGCCGTAAAATACTTACTAAAACTAAAACAAGAGAAATTGTTTCTTTGACTTTGCTTTCACTATTGTTTACAAGTTCTTGTTTGGTATATTATGATAGTATTTTCCTTTCTCTTTCTTTCTTAAGATAAGATAAAATAAGACTTTTGTGTCCCATAGGGAATATTATTATAATTACTTTCGTAGAGAAATTCCCATATGCAGAGAAAAAACAGCAGCTGACAATAATGCAACATGTAGCATTAGAGACATCCCTCAAATCACACGCAGGAATTCATCACAGATGGGTTTAAAAAAGTTATATAGCTATTATGGTATTTGTGCACTGGTAAAAATTCCAACAGCAAGACACATTAATGTTCATTTTAACAGCAGCATCATTGCAAATGGTAGGTGACTTCTTATGTGCCTGTCAGAGATGTTCATGGACTGAAAGATGAGGCAGAATGTTTGGTTCATCCTTTGGGCAAGTTAATAATAGTCTTGTTGTGAAAAATAGTCTGTCATGCTAAGTGGTCATTGTCAAGTGTCGTCTATCTCTTGTGTCAAGTGGTCTGGGCCGAGCGTGCCCCGCTAGAGTTGGGAAGCAGCGAGCACTTCCGGATGGGAAGTTGGTCACAAGTTTGTGTGTCAAGAGTTTGTTATGTAGAGTGGCATGTGCTCAAGCCAGCATGTGCTGCTGAATAGTTTGTGGGTGGTTGGAGGGTGTCACTTATAGGTCATACTTATTTTCTTTCCCCCTGTTCTATGTGTCTGTCTGTCTGTTTGTCTGTCTGTCTGTCTGTCTGCCTGCCTGCCTACCTGCCTGCCTGTCTGCCTGCCTGCCTGCCTGCCTGCCTGCCTGCCTGCCTGCCTGCCTGCCTGTCTGTCTGTCTGTCTGTCTGTCTGTCTGTCTGTCTGTCTGTCTGTCTGTCTGTCTGTCTGTCTGTCTGTCTGTCTGTCTGCCTGTCTGTCTGTCTGTCTGTCTGCCTGCCTGCCTGCCTTCCTGCCTGTCTGTCTCTCTTTTCCCAACCCTGTATGAGTAGACTGTTATTGTGTACTCAAAAAAACCCCAAACCTCCCAAACTTCTGAACATTTTTTTTTGTAGGTCTTTTAACGTGAGCTCATTTTAGGAACTTGGCGGGTGGTTAGCGGGTGCTCTGGTGTGGTTTGCTCCTTCTTTCCTTTCAAACATCTATCGTCCTTATCTCTCCTCCTTTTTTGTGTATGTTACCCTCTTTTAACACCTCTAATCTTTGGCACTTATTTGACCTTATTGTGTTACAAGTGCCGTAAAACTCTTATAAAATAAAAAAAAATAGGAACTTTCGCCTGAGGTGTAGTGGTTAAAACTCCTTGTTGCTGACTGCAAAAGATATGAGATGGACTCACGCATGGGGCAGTACAGAGTACATTTTCCCGAGTACCTCTGTCCTTGTGTTGGGAGGCTGTGTATCTCAGTGAGTCCAGGTTTGACCCTGACATGTAGGGGTGACGCAGCCAGACTCCGAAGTGAGCTAAATTGTGGTTGATGGGTATGTAAACCCTGTACAATCAACCAATCAATCATTCTGTGCGCACTCATATGACCGTATTGTGTTGCAAGTGCCGTAAAACTCTTACTGTGGGTGGTTGGCGGATGCTCTGGTGTGGTTTGCTCCTACTTTATTATAAAAAAATCTATCGTCTCTATTTCCCCTCCTTTTTTGTGTTTGTTACTGTCTTGTAACACCTTTAATCTTCGGCACTTATATGACCTTATTGTGTTGCAAATGCCATAAAACTCCTACTACAACTAAATGTTTTGTGCTTGCCCCAGGCCACCCATCGAGTGACCGGGGAAGAGATGGTGATGAAGATCAACAAGGATTCTTCCAACAGACACAATGCGCTGCGAGAAGTGCAGCTCATGAACAGACTCTCCCATCCCAACATCTTGAGGTGATTTAGTTCAGAAAACATTAAAATCTGAGGCATCGTTGTGAAATCAGGTGCTCGTCAAAATAATGAAATCAAAGAAATTGGCATTTCTTTAGCCAATTTTTTTCTAATTTTCTTTTTTTTGGGCTCAACACCTTTGTACATGTATATTACATTCAAGGCATAAAAAAAAAGAAAATGTCTGCATGACTCTGTATGTGTGTGTCTCTGTCTCTCTCTCTCTTCTTTCTCTCTCTCTCTCTCTCTTCTCTCTCTCCCTCTCTCTCTCTCTCTCTCTCTCTCTCTCTCTCTCTCTCTCTCTCTCTCTCTCTCTCCTCTCCCACCCACCGTTCCCTCAAGTTAAAAGACAATCCTGTTAAGCCCGCTCACGCGAGCGTACATGTTAGCGTCTAGATAATGAGTTCGTTAGCAGTTTTTTAATCGGATTGGGCCAGAAGGGGAGCGAGTTGGAACGTCACAGCGCGTGGTGGTAAACTTGCTTGATGAGCGTCAATGAAACATCGTAACTTCCGGGAATC